GGGAAAGAGCTGGATTACGTTTTGGAGATGAACGCTCTTTTTATTAGCAGCCCAGTGTTAAATCTGCTTGAGCCAAACTGAAACCATACCCTCAGGCCATGCACTTCATGAGCCACCTTGGCTGCCCCAGCAGCCTGTTAAACACTTACCTTGGAAACTGGTTTGTTCCAGGTCATGATGCGTCTTTCCTAATGGTCTGTGTGTGCCCTCCTGTACTTTTTGGAAACACGCTCGTGCACGGAAGCGCCTGAGTTGCCATCAGGACTGGAGTTCAGTTGTGGATTTGCTTATGCTGAAGCCTCCCGGGGGGGTGAGTTGTGTGAGCAGGAGTGGGAGTGCTGTAGGTGGCCCCGGGAATCCGCCTGTGTGTGTTTGTGATCCCCAGCAGAGCAACTGGAAGCGTTTAAAAAGCCTGACTATTCACTCAGGGTTGTGCGAGAGGTGGGTCACAGCTGGAGGCTTGAGGGCAATCTGAGCAAGGTAGTTCAAAATTACCCTAGATGTGCATGCAGAGAGTAGTTAATTCTCCCCACATCCAGAAAATCTATGTCCTTTTGAGAGAAAAGCTGTAACAGGTAGTAATTTTGCTCTCCCACTATACCTTTCTGTGCAAGCTAATAGCAGTTCACAACCTGTGTAGCGGCGAGGAAGACAAAGTCCAGGGAGAGACAGATATCTCTTGTTCAGGACTGGGAGTGAGAAATCAAGGACTGGAGATGATGTGGGAATTAAGTTCATTCTAGGTCTGCCTGCTTGAAAAGGTTTCATGGAAACCTCTAGCCGAGTGTAGGTCAGACTGTGACAGCCATGCAATCCTGATCTCCTAGATCTTTCTTTAGCAAAGGCTTTTGAATAACCATAACAAGCCCTGCATGGTCAGGTAGAGCTGTTGAGGAAGGTACCGCTGCTAGCTTTGTTTCCAGCGGGTGGTGATAACCGAGGGGTTGGTGCACCGAGCATTTTTTTTCCTCCCTGTTGCAAGCAGATGTCCTTTTGGACAGAGCTGCGGATCTGTTCCCAACTTGACTCGATAGAGGCAGTCCACTTTGGAACAGGGTTTCGGGTCTGCCTGGTGAAGGGCTTTCTGGATGTTTCAGAGGCGCGTGGAAGGTCTCCCCTGCTCTAGAAGTGATCCTGAGACCCCGGCACCAGCCTGGGGAAGGGTGGCATGGAGGGGTGGAGAGCCTAGAAGATAAGCAAGCAGGGGACAAGGACAGCGTTTGTGCTTGCGTGGAAACCACTGGGCTTGGGAGAGAGGGGACCACCAGGCTGGCTTGGAGGGAGCTGGGCCCTGGGGAGCGACACAGGTCCCACGAGCAGTCCCAGGGCAGCGGCTCTCTGGGGATGCGGGAGGTGGTGGGGAGGAGAGGCTTGCTGCAGAAAGCAGCAGGGAGGGTGAGCTGGGGAGCTGAGGCGGGTCCTTGTGCTCGCTCTGCAGTTGCTTCAAATTTGGGAAAACATGCTGAGCACCAGCTCTTCCCTGGGGACCAAAGCATTGTTTCCACCATTCTCTAGGGCTTGTTGGGATTTCTGTCCTCTCCGTTTCAAGAAATGTGTGAAAACACTTCTGCTGTAGCTGTGAGGACATCTGTTTTCAAATATAACTGTCTTAAATCCATAGTGCAAAACAGATCTTCCGCTTAGATGGCTATACATTTAGGATTTTTTCCTCAGCACTGTTTGCTACCTCAGGCTCTACCTTGCTTCATAGTCAAGGGAATTTCCTTGTGAAGCATAGGCTGTTGCTTCTGTGTACATTCGGTTTTCTTTTCTACCTTTCTATAGTTGAGTACATGAGTATTTAGAAATGGATAATAGTAATTTGGTTATTTTAGGTTTCTTCTTTTTGTAAAAGAAAAGCTCACTTGCTGAATGCTCGCAAAGAAATGTTATCACTGGCAGCTCATATAGCGAATTCCAGATGTAGTAAAAAAGCCTGCTTCCTTAGGGTTGTTAATGTTGCTTAAGTCCAGATGTAAACTAGTAGAGGCTAATTTCTGATACAGTTAAAATTCTATATTATGGGCTTTGTTATATTGTCTTGAGTACTTCGATTGTTAGTTTTTATAATGAAGATATCAGGCAATACATGAAGATACTCAGTCATTTTGTCCAATAAAGCCTAACCCTGTAAATAACCTTTTTATCCTTTCTGCGAATGTTAACAAATCAGTTTCTTTTTGCAAGATTCGCTGATAAGAGAAATCTGATGTGTGTTCGTGTGACTATAAATTGTTGATGGAAAGGTTTTTTTGCAAGGGTATCTTGGAATCTCTGGGTTTGGTTTTGTTTAATGAGTACGTGTGAAATCGTGGAAGTCAAGAAATGGGGCAGTGAGCACCCTGAGTACTTACCTCAAGCAGCAGGCTGAAATAGTCAACCCACTGAAACTGTTTTCTGGAAAAGATTATCTGCGTAAGAACTGAATAGGTGTGTAAATAATGTTTGCCCACAGGTAATAGGTACGAAATGTTTACATTTGCTGCGTATTTTAAATGTGAATTACTGGCACAGGTTTTTAAGTAAGACTTCTTTCTGCAAAGAGCAATAAAGACAACCTTGATGTATAGTAGAGCAAAGTCAATAAATGTAATGATTACTATTTTATGTAGTCTTTTTATAAAGTGTCCAGGAAAACTTATTACTCAGGCTGAAATGTATTCTCTGCGTAGAAAGCTGTACAAAGATAGGTACATTTTTTCCACCCCAAATGGCAGAACCAGTGTTACACTGAAAGGCGCGGGGGAGTTAGAGTTTGTCAGGGAGGCTAGTAGCGTGAGCTGCTGACTTCAACTAATGCTCTTCCAGCCACCTTGATTATACTGGACTTGAGTACGAACCACGACTAACTGTGTTGTGCGTTACTGTTGGCTTTGTTTTAACTTAGATGTAGTGGGCCTAGACTCTCCGAGGTGATACAGTGCAGTATTACATGAGCAAAAGGTTTTATTTATGTATTATAAAAGACAAGCGAAAGAATGGAGGATGCATTTTATAATTGCCATATTTAATGGGGATTTTCCGTTCTTAGATTTCGCGCAGTTGCCTGTGACAGCTCCTGTTGAGTAAACTGAGACGGGGACATCTTGTATCGGCTGTTGTACCTGTACCTGCCACGATGAGGAGTTGCATAAGGTTTCTTTTTCTTGTTAATTCGTGCTTTTATTGTAGTGTAATTATTATAAGCAGCTCAATTAGTAAACACATTCCTTTAAGGATTTTTTTCTTTTTCCTCATTTAACAAAAGTTTTCTTCTAAAACTAAAAGGTGTAACAGTATTAGTGTAAGTAGTATATCCGGCCAAATCACTGATTATGTATTAAGCATATTAAGTCCCCAAAACTGCCGGTTTACTTCTCCAGACTCATGAATGAGTGTGCCGGTTGCTGCTTCTCTTTGCTGTTAAAAAAAGTGTGTTACTTTTTACTTGTGGTCTTGCCCTTTCCCGTTTGGTGACTACTTCATGAAGCAGAATTACTTGTAAACTGAACAGCTATTATGTGTGTGCAGAAACAACCACTTGCACAGTTTTTCTGTTAAGGTGTATTGCATAGATTAGCAGCTCTTTCCTTCAGGATTTAATCTGCCAGCCTTTCCTGCATCACTAGTCAGGGTTTGAACGCTGATTCCTCAAAAACCCCAACAGGATTATGTGAAAACAGAATGGATGCATGTTCTGTAAGAACCCGACTGTTCACAGCTAATCTGCAGACCGAACCACTAAGTCAAAGATATTTTCATGTGTCATGTTTTTTTATTTGTCAGTGATTAAACAGGAGTTACCCAAGAACAAAATTCCGGTATTGTAAAGGCAGTGGACTTTCTCACGGTGTCCTAGCCTAACTAATACTAAAACTGCTTAGCATCCCGTTGGCCTCTGCTTTCCGTTCCCTGCCCCAAAATGTTGGGTTTACTTACCCTCTTTTTACGGTCAAAAGCAGTCATATACTTCCAAAATTAACAAGGTGACCACAAATTGTATTTCAATGAAATTTTTGAAGCCCCGGTATCGTATTTCACTAAGTCTTTCGGAGGGTTTCTTTTGTTTGGTACTTTTTAAAGGCGGAATATTAAACAGCAAACAGTGCATCCCTTTCAAGCCTTTCAAATTTTATATAACCTTGAAAATTTCCCTAAAACTTTTAATTTTCAGCTTAGTTCTGCAAATTGATTATTAATTATGCATTTTTGTTCCGAGTTTTTAAAATACCATACATTAAAGGTTCAAAATAGCAATTGTTATAGAAAAAAAATGCACGTACAAACATTGTATCTTAATGAAAACAATCTTTTTTAAAACCAGTTTTTTTGGGAGGTTAAATGACCTTCTACTTAACAAAAACCCCAAAAAGTAGTGTCCTGTTCAGCTGCCTTGACTTTGCTTGTAGTAAAAGAAAAAGATAATTGTCTTAACTGCTAGCACTCCCGTCTCAAGTTAGGGTTAAGTTTTGCTTCTACATTGTCATCGAAATGTTTTTTTATCAGATGCTTAGTGATCCATGTAGCTGACTTCGATGTTCTTCTGCTGGGAGTGGCAATGTTAAATCTGTTGGATGAAGGCCTTTTAAGCTGAAACAAGACATCTCCTTTGCTTACCTGGAATTTTTCTCTTCTGCAACATAGCAAACAAATAAATGAAATGATGAGTTAAAATGCATCCGTGTTCTTCAGTTATACACGGAAAGAGGTGGAGCCTTTACGTTGCCACCAAGAAACTTCCTTTGTGTTGTGGTTCAGCCGGACAAAATTATAGTACAACGTATAACTTTTTGAAAAACGGGTAAACTTTTGTTGTGTGAACTCTGGATTCAGGTTTAAAAAAACATGTTCTATGCTGCTATCAACAACAGCATAATTTTTCTGGACTGCAGTAGCTTATTGACTGGCACATGATGATTTCCGTTAAGTATCCTCCAGTGACAGCCTAAGAACATAAGTCTCTTCAAACGATTACTGAATTTGCCCTTTAGCCTATTTAAGTTTGTTTTTTTTATTTGTCATGGCTTTTTGCCTTTGATCTGAAAATCAAAATATAGACACTTCAATTTTTTAGGTTTTAAATCCCTTTCCCCCTCTGCTGCTTGATTCAGTAAGTCCCTACTGTGAAGAGCTCCTATGCTTCTTTGAATGTGGGTCTCTGGGTGCTTTGCAGAACAGACCTTGATGTTGCTTGGTCCCTTCAAACTGCCTGTAACGACGCTGTGTGAACGATGAGGTTACAGCAGCTTGTTAGGGAAGAAGTTGATGGTCAAATAATTTTGCGTGGAGTTTTAAGAAATGGTATGGTTTAGAGAAGGATGGAATTAATATCCTACAAATGAAGGATATTGGACTGATCTGTTCCCAAAAGGACCTACAAGTCTAAGATTCATGAAGCAAGGTTTCTTTCCATTACTACTGAAGGATCTTACACGATTTAAACATTACTTTTTCACTGAAAATTTCTTTTCATTAGGGTTTTCAAAGAGTCAATGAACGTAAGACAACAGCAAAGAATAATATGGTACTGGCACTGTATCTTACGAATGAAAAGTTACTTAATTTTGATAGTTCTTTCTAAGTTGTACATCTTATATACACATTATTAGTTGCTTGATTTATGGTATTGCTTTTAATACAGTTGTATCAATACATTTGGAGAGTTAATGGAGTGAAGTGTACTTATAGTTCATTTTGCTTTTATGCGTAAAACACGGATTTTTTTATAACTGGTAGCTTATTCACCATTGCAGAAATTCATCTTCAGCCATGATGACAAGTGTCCCTCTTTTCCATAATGAGTTTATTTTGTTGATTTTTTGGGGGGGTCTTTTAGATAGATAGCATAATTTCTTGCCTCCACAGTAGAATACATCAGAAAGTTGCATCGTTGTGGTCTTTAGGTGTGATAAACGATGCTTTAAAAAAGTCGAAGTGTGAATACCCTGGCATCATTAGGGACCCTGGAAAAAGTTATGCATCTCTTCATAGTGCTGTTAGGATTTGGGGATATTTCTAAGCCATTTTCCAGTATTTACCAAACATCAGTTAACTTAGTGTCATATTTATTTATATAACGAGTGTGCCTGTTGCATACTGGTACTGAGGCTGAAATCATAGGACTGATGGAAAGTCCCTAGGAATGAAAGAACCAGCAAAGTTCTGTTGCATACGGGGCCTTCGTGGAGGAAGGTTAGAGTTTCCTTCTCTTACGTAGGTGTCCCAGTCTGCACAATGTTTGGAAAGCATTTCAACAAACTTAGTGATCGGGGTTTCCCACATACGGAGCGGTGGCATTACTTGTGTTCTTAGGGCCTATATGGGGGTTGATGATTTACAGTCATCAAAGGTCATAAAGATTGCTAGTGAAGATACGCATGTAGGTATTCTGATGTGGTGGGAGAGAATCTTTTAAATTGTATAATCACATAACATTTTCAGATAAATACATGCCGTTCACATGCCATTTAATTAAAAACCCAGGTCCTGAATTCCTTAGGTTCTCTGTTTGTGTTGTGTAGCGTCCAAAGAAATAAAAATAATAGTAAGTACTGCAGTCTGTTAAATGGGAATGGAAGAGTTTTTCTTCATGTGTCGGTGTCTTGTTTTGTTTGTGTTAGGGGTTAAGACTTTTAGCCTAATTTCTGCATAAAAAGACATACTTTGATATGGATTGCAAGAATGTGTTTGAAAATAACCCCCTTGCCAACAGCCATAGAGTTTACCACTAACGTTTTCTTTTCTCTTTTCAGAGCTTTTTGGATCCCTGTCTAATTGATCCATGGTTCCGAACTCTTCCTTGTAACCTTCGCAAGCAGCCAAAATGAAGTTGAAGCATAACATCAACCCTGTTCTTCTACAGTTTATAAACTTTATAATCTTGGTGTACTCCTTTGTAACATACATTCCCTGGTACATATTTTCAGGATCAAGGCAGGCTATAGCAAAAGCCAAGCAGGTCAAAGCTAAACCTGTGAATAACAAGCCTGGGGGTGCGTACAGATCTGTTAACAGTCTACATTGCTTAGCTTCAGTTTTATATCCTGGGTGTGATACACTCGACAAAGTTTTTAAATATGCTAAAACTAAATTTAAGGACAAAAAACTCTTGGGAACACGTGAAATCCTAAAAGAGGAAGATGAAATCCAGCCATCAGGAAAAGTTTTTAAAAAGGTAAGTCTTTTTGCAGTCTGCCTTCAAGAATTTTTTCAAGGTGTGTTTACTTTCTTTTGCAGCACTTCTAGTCCAGTAAAGCAAACCGGGAGGAAAAATAAATTTCTCTACTTAGATTAAGTAGTAGTGAAGAGAGTTACATTATCTAATTCCCAACCTTTCATTACTCAGCATTTAAAACAGATCTAAACCTTCTTTTTGCATTCTTGAGTAGATATCCTTTTTTATGGTTTCAGCCAAAGGAAAAACACAAATGCGTTTTAGGTATTTGTTTTTAATATTTAGCTGATGATGTAACTGGCTTTAAAGTTTGCCTTTTAGGTGACTTAAGAAAAAAGTCTCCCTTTCTGTTATTCTGAACTATCATCAGTTAAATACAGAAAAATTCCTACATGCCGATACTCAGATGTGCCTTTCCAGTAAACTTAATTGTAACTTAAGGATTTACTGTTTTGCCCTGTGAAGTCAGGGCTTAAATGAAATGTTTGTTTGGAAAAGGATTGCACAGGCTTTAATTGGAAGAGTCTCTTTTTTTTTTTTTTTTTTCCTCCTTTCAACCTCCTTCGAGGTGAACTACTGCTCTGCTAATCTGTAATCATGGGGTGTGTGTGAGATGCAACTTCAGTATTAAAACTCTGTTTCAAGGGACTGACTTTTTATAGTCTTTTAAGTTCAGGCCTGTATTGTCAGTTGCTGCTTTGTATTTGTTCAGAGGCATTTAAAAATGCAGTTTTGCCTGAAGAAGCAAGTCAAGATACCATGAACAGGATACGCATATATATATGTGGATATGTATTATATGTGATAGATATATAATACAGTTGTTAACTACATGCTATAAAAACAATTTTTAGTTAAGATTAGTTTTCCTGCAGAAGAAAAATTTATCTCCTCATATAATAAAGGATTCCTTAAATACTGCTAATTTTAATTCTGATACAGGAGTATAATGTTTAAAGTAGAATTTGATTAATATCACAATACATGGCAAAGTTTAGTTCTGTTTAAGTCTTTATAGAAGCTTTAATTGCTAGTGAAACTTCCTCCCAGCTATGGAGTTAATTTTTCAGTATGAAGGAAATGCTGGGAGAAATGGGTGCATACAATCTTTCTTGATGCACATTTTCCTGCCTCATTGCCCTGTAAAGAAACAGAAAGTTCATGTTGTACAAAGCAGGCTTCTGAGCACAAATCAGAATTTTGGCTGCCCGTGATCTGTGCTCTGTTTTTTAAACGTAATTAGTAACGTAAGGCTTAAGAACTTAGGGGTTTTAGCCTTTTCCATTATGTAAGCAAAGTTCTGAATATTGGAAAGCTGAAAAATGTTGGTGTTGACCTACTTAAATTAATTGTTTCTAAGTATTTAGACTTAGAAATTACCTAAGTTAGGTAATTTTGTCTAAGCTTGACACAACAGTTCATTATGGTTGATTGCCATCCTTGCCCTCGTGGTATTTTGTTCCAAGTTGTGGCATTATCACATAAGTCTACTTTGAAATTGTTTTTTCCATTAAGGAATACAGTGCTTCTTAATACCTCATAACATGTTTTAGCAAGTGAGGAATTTAATTCGTGGATACAATGCATATAATTTCTATGCCTTAGAGGAGCTGCAAAACTTGTTAATTTTTTTTTCCCTTTCAGAAATTGAACTCAGTGGTGGGAATCATTGATGCATTTTTCTGAGGTCACCTGCAAGTCAGGGGCAGATCTGAATGTAGATCATGGGTCTGTGTACTGAATTGCATTATGTATTAGAAGATGTCTCTCTGTGCAAATTGCAGTAGGCTAGATTAGCCTAATTAATGATTCATTAATGGGGTAAATACATATCTCAAAAAATTAAAATATTAAGCTTCTGATTCTTAGGAGAACTAAGTGCTCACACTTTAGCTAAAATTATTTAAATTATTAAAATTATTAAAATATTAAGCTTCTGATTCTTAGGAGAACTAAGTGCTCACACTTTAGCTAAAATTATTTAAAGCTAGATCTTTTACATCTTTAAGATCAGATACTACATTAATTTGTTCTGAGAGCAATGATATCCCAGATAATCTGTAATTTCTTGAATTTTTATGATACGATACTGTTCAAAAGATTTATTTATTCCTTTGTAGTTACCAAAGTAGCAGAAATTCATGGATGTTAATAAAATACAAATACTTGCTTCTGCTCACTTTGTTGCATTTTATAATATTTCATAGGTAGGTAGTTTTTCTGTTTCCTTCTGTAGTGTCCTTTAATACACGAGTTGGAAAGCATACCTAATATTAATTTCATCAAATACATATTTAAGTCAGGATAAAATAATGTCAAAAATACTTCAGAGATTAAGATGTAATTAATTGGAAAAATTAATTAATTTAAGCAGAGCTTAAATTTTACAATGCCCAAAAGATGAACTGTATTCTGCTGGTTGATTATTTTATGTCACCTTAGTTACAGGTTATATTATCACATGCTTGCTTTTATATATGTTAGTATGTGGATTTTGCTTTGTTTGTGTGTGTGTTCTTTTGTTGTTTGGGGGGGGATTGCTTGTTTTGGGGGTGGGTTGGTTGGTTGGTTCTGTTTTAAAGAGGGTTTGTAACCAAGAACAGAATTAATGGAAACATAATAAATAAGACATAATGGGGAAAAGTAAACACGATTTTGGTAGGGGAAGGTGATGCATCTAAAGCCTGTGAGACTTACGTGAAGCAGCAAGCACACGGGCAAGCACTTGGGAATTCAGACCAGTGCTCATTACAGCTGGTCCTGAAACTTCCCGTGAAGTTGCAGGAAGGTTTTTGCCATGCCAAGTCATTGAGCAGTAAGAGAGTAGCTTATGATGTTGAAAAACATAGGGTGCTATGTAAATAATATTTTAGGGTGGGGTTTTTCAGAAGTGTTCAGCTGCAGTCCCATGTTTTCGTGTGAAAAAGGCCAAAAATGGACATTTCACATAACCTCCTTTGTATTATTTGTAATATACTTTCTACAAGGAGACGTATCTAACTCATGATCACTGGCTTCCAAATTGTAGTCAAGGTTCTTCAAGCCTTATAAGCTACTTTTAGGAAGACCTTGAAAGCTAACCAAGGTCAGGTAGTTTAATGACTGTACATGTGCCTGCAGCTTTTTTGAGAACATTTTATGACGCCTTCACACTAAAAACTTGAATATGGTTGCCCTAAAATCCAGATTAAGAAATGTTCACTGTGCAGCAAGTATTTAGTCTCTATACTTTGCTGGATTTCCAATATTAATACAGTACTGATATTTAATAACATTTTCCAATGCATTGAATAGACAACTCAAGTATTTTTAATAAGTTGCAGTTTAAGTATGTTTAAAAGCTGGTGCACTAGAGGGCAGTATTTTTCTATTTAATGTAGTATTTCGAAGTAAACAGTCAGGGGTGCTGTCTCTTCTGATTTAGTGTTTGGTTTTATGTATCTGCTTAATCAATTCTCAATAATCTTGACTTCTTGGGCCCTTCTCTTGCAAACTCTTGCACAGTCACTTTCTTTACACGTGTAAGTAGCTATCTAGCAGAAATAAGTTCTGAAAGTTGTAAAATTAAACGTGTGTGGACGTTTAAAAGACGCTGGCACTTAACATCAGTCTTAACAGCTGTTTACAATAGAAACTGCACATTGGAAAATATTAGCGAAAGCTACTGAGGGAAGGGCCAAGAAGGGAGATGGATTTGGAGACATACTCAAACATAAGGAAGGATGAGAGAAACCATAACCTGCTCTGCGTCCAGCTGAAGAAGCATATAGGGAAATGGGGGAGAAAGGGACGTAACGGACAGCGGCAGTATATTAATGTGCCGTAGGGAGGGAATAGAGAAGAAATGCTGGGCACGGGGAGAAAGGGGACATGGGAATTTAAATATATGGAAGGCGGTAGGAAAAGTAAAACTCAAAGTAGCTGCATTGAAAAGGGTCTTCTCATCTGTTCTCACACGTCAGTGTTCAGAAATATATTTCTATATATAGAAAAAATATTACTAACAGTGCTATACTTCCTTTCCGCGCGTTTTCTAACCTCTTAAGAAGGGAAAGCGCCAATAAGGCCTTCTTTCACTACTTTGTATCAAACGCGTTTAAGCAATGAGAATAAATTATTTAAGAGAATAAAAAAAGGGAAAAATCATAATCGCAAGTGTTATTCAGAAAGATCCATTTTTGATCCTTAAATGATTTATTATTTCAACTTTAGTGAGTTACGTAGTGAATGGTGGAAATTACCAAAACCTGTTAATTTATGGATTGGCAAACTTACCAGAAAGAGTAACAAGAATCTGCTTGTATTTCTTGGCCTAATTATTTGAGAGCAGCGTCCCTGAGGCCACACTGTAGGTAGGGTACAATGGTGGGAAAGGTGTTGCCTGATTCATTCCTGTAAATTGTTTTCAACTGGTGAGCTCGTCAGGAATTTCCAAGTCTGACCAAAATACTGCAGTTGGGGGGGAAAAAATGTCCCAAATTGGAATTAAAATTCCAAATGACTGACATTCGGATGGAGGGGAAGAGGTGCAATATTTTCTTTGGAAGCAGCAAAGGTTTTCCACGCCAGAAATATCTTGGTGTGTCGAAACGGAAAGGAACTGCCAGGTCCTCCTCCTCGGGGGCCGTACCTCCGAGCGCAGGTAGCCTGTGAGCCCTCTGCCCCGCGGTGCTGCGGCTGTGGTCAGGCAGCCGTTCTGCTGTGGTTCTCTCCCGGGTTACAGCAGAGAAATTCAATGGGATCGTTCTTCTCCAGTAAGGTTTTTGGCTCTGTAACAGCCTATTTGCCAATGAAGCTGAGTTTCTGTAAATACAGCGGGGAAACCTGGGCGGATATTTGTGTGAGAAATGTTTATTTTCTGGTGAAATTGCTAAGTATTGCTGTTGTTGGCAAGTATTGTTTTTTGGTTTTGTTAAATGATATTTTCCTATGAAAACATTTGTGAGATTTCCAAGCAGCTGCACGTGTCCTGAGTTAAGAAAGGTTTGTCCTGCTAAACAGGACGAGTAGGTTAATGAGCAACATGCAGCAAGGCTGTAGCAGGTACAACTCAGTTACCCAATAGGAAACTTCAGCAGTCTGAAAAAGTGTTTTGATAAAAGAAATCTATTAGATTTTATTTTGCTATTAGAGTTTGAGAGAGATTTTCAAATTAATTTTATTAAGGAAGTGGATGTGGAAATACAGGCTCATTAGAAATGTAGTTACATGCCAAAAAGCTGTTAGATTTTACAGCCCACAAGTTTGAAATTTAGTTACAAGTTGATAAATGAAATCTGGAAAACAGAATGGAGGGAGGAGGGAGAAGTTTGCTTTTCTAGGGTTTTGTTTGGTTTTTTTTCATTTTTAATCGTTTGCTTGCGTTTGTTACTAATGCTGTGTAGCCAAAGGTAATGTCCGAAATACTTGACTAATAAAAATCAGTTTTCAAAATTGTCAAGGTGCTTGTATAACTAGACAGGTAAGGTACTATAATTTGAGTCTGGTTTTTCAGTGCAAAACATCTTCTTTGTACTACATCTGTATATGAAAACTTCTAGGATGTCATCAAAGAAATAACCTGTCACTCAGTGAGAAAATAGTACTGTAAGGTGCAAGTGCACACGTAGAAATCTATGACAGATAGTGAACTGTAAATTCAAATCCAATTTTACTGTGCACCAGCTTTCCCATACAGAAGGAAGGTGAGATTGCTTAACTTTCTCCGCATGACTTTTCAGTACTGAGATTTGCCAGTAATTTCCAGTCCAGTCTTCTGTCCCACTTTCGTTCACCAGTAGAAAAGGGCAAAAAGATAACTCCCCTTCCCCCTGACATTTGTTTCGGAACAAAGAAAGGGAGGGGGATTTCACAGTTTCTGACTGAGGACCCATTGATATATCGCTTTCTGGATTCCAGTTTCCCTGTTTTTTGGTTTGTTTTTTTTTTTTTAATAAGAATGAACACCTAAGTATCATATTTGTACAGGAGAATCATAGCCCAAATATCCAAGAAAGGAAATAACAGAGTATGTATTGCACTAGGTAGTGCTTGTCCCCCTTTATTTAAAATAAAACAAACCTTTGTTAAAAATCCAAAAGCACATGGGTCAGATAACCACGGCCTTTCGGAGGGCTGCTGAAGCTACGAAATACAGTGGGAATCGTGTGCTTTCCTAATGTGAGAACAGAAACGGAGGTGCTAACGTGTGGAGATATTGCAGTATTTGTGTTGGAATTTCCACAGTCCCTGTAGTTTTTGGCAAGAATATTAGTTATCTTGAATAAACTGCTCTTAGAATTTAAGCAACTTTTACGTCAAACATGCGTGGTTTCTTCACGTGGATAAAGATGTAGTAGGACACGTGTTAAGGATTTTCGTTTTCTAAATCGAATTTATTATTCTTATTAGGTCATCCTTGGCAAGTACACCTGGCTTTCATATGAAGATGTATACATTAAAGCTGTTAATTTTGGAAACGGCTTAGCAGTATTGGGTCAGCAACCAAAGACTAACATTGCTATCTTTTGTGAGACCAGAGCTGAGTGGATGATTGCAGCACAGGCCTGCTTTATGTGCAACTACCAGCGTAAGTACACGTCTTTCCTAAAATATTTATGTCTTTGGATCTTACAACACAATCTGAAAACAAACCTTTTTCGTACTTGACTTTACACACTGAGAAAACTTTATATAAAAAGTTTATATGGAGCATTTAAAACTACAAATAAAAAATACTGTGTAAGGTAGAGACTGTGCACTTTGTAGTGTTTTGCCTTACTGAGTGGAGAAATGTGTATCTGTTTGCAGCTGGAGTATGGTTTCAGTAAGTATATCTTGCTCAATGAATTTGTGAGAGGTTTATTTTCTTTTAATCTCAAATCAGTACAGATTTCCAAGTTTCTAAAAACAAACAAACAAAAATCACACATGAATTCATTGACTCAGTTTCAGGAGTTGACGTCAAACCTTCATCTGTGCCTGTAAGTTTTGTTTTAACTGGATATTTTGTCAACTCTTTAATTTTGATTTTGGTTAGAGTTTATCATACTGTTATCTCTAAAAAGTGAAGAGGAACCAGTAAGTCCTGAACTTACTTTGGACAGCTCTTTCGAATTAGAAAGTTGCCTAGTAACTCCTTTACCAAACTGTAAGTCATTCCTTAACTCAAACCTTAGGCTGAGCCTGATGTATTTCTTTTATATTTTTCTTTCTTCTCTCTGCCTCTTAACTTCCTCATAGTCTATTGCATGTCATTTAATACATTCTAATTTAACCTGAGTGCTGATTTGAGACTATGCTCAAGGACAAGCTTGAGTCCTCGTTATTACTTCAGAAACCTTAAGACTGTGTTTAGTTTTGGTGGGCTATTTAAAGTCAGTCTCACTCTCATTCATAGTATCTGGTTTAATCACACACTAACTGGATCCTTAACCCTGGCAGCGGACCAAGACCAGGTTCTCTGACCTGGACGATACGCCTCATTTTCTCACGGAGCGACCATAAGAGAAATGTCTTTTGGGCTTTTCTGTCCGATGAGAGTCTTAGTCCCATTCTGTAACTTCTAGTTACTTACCCTTTAGTCTTCTGCTATTTTATTGTGGAGACCACTAACTGTGGTGGGGCAGAGCTGAGTCTGCTCAAGGAGGAGAAGGTTCTTTCTTGGCAGGATGTGTACACTGGGCAGTTGCAGGCTGTGTTGGAGGTGCCTTTGAGGAGTGGCAGAATGGGACAGACTGGCTGGAGGTGTTCTTGCACAGCTTCACAGCACAGGGCAGAGACAAATGCAAAGCCAAGTCTGCTCCCCTTTCACTCGAGTCATGTAGAGGGCCACAACTGTGTCCGAGGTACGTCTCTGCCATGGTGCAAAGCCTGCTGTATACCCTAGCCTGGTCTGAGCCTAGGCACAAGGATATGCGTAGGAGCTCTAGGCCTATTTTTCTTGCTGAGAAACCTATTGAGTGCTGATCTCAACTTGGTATAGGAATTGTTTTCAAATGTCTGTTTCATCATCGCTCCTTACTATGTCATTCACCTAACTGTAAGCCCAGCCTGGCTGGGTTCTGTGATGTTCTCAGTGGGGGCATTTCTCATTTTCTCACAGGGCGCTCTAGAAGCTGCTGTTCCTCACAGGCTTTGGACTCTTCTCTCCCATGCCATGTTTACCCTCCTTCAATAAGAGATGGGCTGTAAAACCCAGATATTCAGAAATTCATGACTTACTACCTACCTACAGTGAAGATGTATATCGGTTAGACTTTTTTCAGATTTTGGAAGCAAGCCTAACAAGAAAATTGTATCTTAAATGGTCCCTCTCTGCTCTAAGCACGAGTCTGTCTCAGTTTGAGAAGCCAGACGTTCATGACTATATAGCAGTTTTCATTTAAATAAGTCTTTACTGCGGGTCTGTGTGGTTATTTTGTCTATACCCTTATGCTGTATTATTCCCTCAGTTTTAAGGGTGGAGGTGGTTACAAGATGTACTGCCCTAGCCCATACCGTTTCAAAATCAGCCTGCTTGCCTTGTACGATGACTGGCTCTGCGGACAAGGAGAGAGGGGATGTTGTATACTGTGACTTTAGCAAGGCCTTTGACATGGTCTCCTCTAGTATCTGTACATCCAAACTATTCAGACAGAGACTGGACAAGTAGCTGGTAAGACGGATGGAAAATTCATTGGTCCGTTGGTGGAAAGGGTTGTGATCAGCTGGGCAAAGTTAGCTGCCAGCCCTCGGGGATTGATACAGAGTCCAATACTGTTTAATGTCTTTATTGAAGATCTGGATGATGGGACAGAGTGCAAACACAGCAAGTCACAGCCCGTAGCAAGTTGGTGGGAGCAGCCAGTACACTGGAGGGCAGGGCTGATGTTCAGAGGGGCCTGTCAGCTGGAAAAGTGGGCTGTCGGGAACCTCATGGAGTTCAACAAAAGCGACTACAAATTCCTGTGTGTGTGCTGGAATAACCTCATGCACGAGTATAGGCTGGGGAACAACTGGATAGAGAGCAGCTTTGCAGAAAAGGACCTGGCGGTCCTGGTGGATAGTGAGTCAACCATGAGTACGCAGTGCCTTTCCTGCAGTGAAGGCCAACAGCATCCTGGGCGGTAGTAACGTGAGTGTAGCAGGTAGGTCCAGGGAAATGGTCCTTCTCTTCCATTTGGACGCTGGTGAGACCACATCTAGAGCGCCGTGCTCAGTTTTGGGCTTCCCCGTAGGAAAAAAGACCTTGACGTACTGGAGTGAGTCCAGTGGAGGGCTGCCAAGATGCTGAAGGGGTTGGAGAACGTGACGTACGAGAAGAGGCTGATAGAGAGGGGTCTGTTTAGCATTAAGATGAGTGAGTCGAGATCTTGTTGCCGTCTAAAGCTATGTAATGGGAGCGTACAGAGGGAATGAAGCCAGACTCTGCTCAAAGGTGTGTTTTGATAAGACTGGAGGCAACAGGCACGGGTTGAAACACAGGAAAACTTGATTAGATATTAGGACAAACGTCTTCATTGTGAGGGTGGTTAAATACCAGAACAGGAGCCTAGAATGGTTGTGAAATCTCCATCCTTGGAGACACTTAAAACCGGACTGGCCATGGCCCTGAGCACTCTGCTCTAATGAACTGTTTTGTGCAGGTGATCTTCCCAGGTGCCTTCCAACCTAAATTCAGTGATATTTTTGGTCCTTTCTTCAGTGAGTGACTGCTGCTAACTTGCCTGCCAGAGCAGAGGTCTGCACGGGCTGTTCTCGGATGAGATGCCTGTGTGGCTTTTAAACTACGTGTCTCTTAATACACCGTGTCAGTTCCCTTTTATCACTTTTGGGATCTGTTAGATTCCTAGTGACTATCCTGGGAATAGAATGCAAAGGCTTGTATCAATTTTTTTTTTTCTTTTTTGGAAGTGAAGTACACTTACAAATCCTAGGAAGATTTTGTAATTTGAGGGGGGAAAAAAAAATATGAGATAGTGGATGGATGTCGTGTGTAGAATGGCATGTGTTTTTGGTTTTGTTGGCTTAATGTTTTAAAATCCCTTATTGAGACATGCTTCGGTACGCTGTCTGATGTGGTATTTAGCATCTAAGCTGTATGTCATCTCATGTGAACTTGGCTGACTTGTGTGTTGGCAGATGATGATATTATCATGCAGTATTCACGTAGTCGGTTTGCTGAATGAATTATAGCATTCAGATGATGTTGAAGAGGGAGTGTGGCAAGATATTGCTAAATGACACAAATTAGCATTTTTCAGTTTACAAGTTTTGCAACAGCTAACTGCTGTGGTAGTGTTGTGACATTCTTTCCGAATGTGAAAAGTATTCAATCTGATGGGACGTGCCCAGAACTGATGCCAAGGGAGCAGGTTCATCTGCTTCATACCTAGTGTTGGAGAGAATGCCTTTTGTACTACAGAATTAAAATGGGGAAAGTAATTTTTATGTGACGGATTACTCGCACAAACAGGTGGTTTTATGATTAGAAATACTTGCTTGATTGTAAATTTTACATTTAAGTCTTGGATTTGCAGGAGGTCGAGTGGGATTGCTAGCTCAAAAATGGAAACAAAAGTACTAAAATGAAAACAGATTTTCTTCCAAAGTATCTCCCCTTCATCTGTGTGAAGAGCTCTTCCCCAGTGTGGGCAGATAAAACACCCGAGTGTATAACCAAATAATGAAATAAATAGGAAAGGTTACGTTTCATTTTTCAATCATGCCTTCCTGAAGCTTGAGCAGAAGTGGTTTTGCCAGAATTGATTTGGCTGAAGCCTTTAAAGGTATACTTTGCTTTTTATTTTTTATGTATGATGGATGCTGAAATACTCAGTTTAACATTTGATTACATTGAAATAAATGACAAAAGCTCTGTTTGTTTCCTCAGGGCAAGGCTTTGTTCTTGTATATTAGCTGGCAAATTTAGTGGTGTTGAGATTTTTCTTTTTGTCAGACTTTCAGAGCAGTATTCCTAGCAGAAGTCCAGATATCAAAGACTCGCTTGTACTATTGCATGCGTAAAGGTGAACGCAAAAGATACTCCCTTCTCGGTATGCCTTCAAGAGAAAAAGGAGAGAAAAAAAATTACCTAAACTTTCAGATTTGTCTGAAAAAGTTTTAGGTGCCAATGTGGAGAAGTGAGAATTTCACATATCAGAGTCATTGCTCAGTTTTTTTTCTCTCCATGACATCAGTACGCCATCATATAAATGGTATATTTCTCTTTGGCTCTGTCATATAGCTCTGGTTGCCCTTGATGTACTTATTTGTAGGCGAGTGATTAGCTACAGAAATGGTTATTTCGGAGATTATACTTTTCTTTCCGGGCGGTGTGTCATTTCGGTTGTGCTTGTTGGCTTGGGGAAGCTGAATTTCTGCTAGATGTTTGTATAACAGGGGTCACTGCAGTAAGTAGAGAGAGCTCGTGGGAACTAGTAGAGGCACTCTTCTGGACTTTGCTCCCACCAAATTAAAGAAAACACAGTGCATGTGCGTTTGCCCTGCAACAGTTCTGAACTATGATGGACTGTTTTAACAAGGAAAAAATAAGTAGAGGTCAACTATTTACTTTCCTGTGTAAGAAAACTGCTTTTGAGTTCTTCCTTAGTATGCTGCACTGGGTTAGTAACTCCCTGGATTTCAAATCTTAGACTACAACGGAGTTTGATGTTATTTTATTTTCATTTTTTATTTTTGCTGCAGTGAACATAGTATGGTTACAGCCCTAACGTACAATGGGGTGTCTTGTTTTAATAATTGTTGTTTAAATATTCAGCTAAATCCAGACTAAAATACAAAAGAAATTCGGATACCTAATGTGAAGAAAACTTCCAGCGCTGATGTTGTAATTATTAACGATTGTGTTGATTGACCTTACAGCTTTTTTGAGATGCCCCTGTTTAGCTTTCTGCTTGGAAAATAGGCAATCATTTTTTTGAGACCAATACCTCTCTACCTTTTTGAGCTGCCTTTTTCTTCCCCGGTCTCTTCTGTCTTTTCTCACGCAGTTCCCATAAAAATGGCAGGAAATGAAATATGATTTTAAAATTGTTATTATGAAATAATTGTGGTTTAACACTCTGTTGCTAATGAGCTGTCCTTACATACAGGAAGCGATGTTTCTAATAGTCAATTTCCTAAATATTTTCTTTCCTTGCTGTTCTGTATTCTCATGATGTCAGTTCAATGTCTAATGATTGTGGTGATTAAACCTTTATTATGTTGTTTTAAATAGATGGGAGAATATGATAGTGACAGATTTATTACTGAGTGTGAGACTTAATCTGCTTATTATTAGCAGTCAATTGTAAAAGCCTAGTAACAGAGCATGTGAATTCTGGAAAGAGAAGTCACGTAAATGAAAGCTGTTTTTTTTTCCCTGTGTACAAGAGGACTGTTAAACAGCGTATGAAACTGAGAACTGATGCCTACTTTTAAATTGGTAAAAGCCATGAAGGTACAAGAGTAGATCTAGAAGAGAATTGCATAGGGTAATGTGGTTTTGGTATCTCTAGTTAGACCTTGAAAAATGGTCTGAAAAATGGTTGAAAAATGGTAAACAGTTGCACGGACAATGGTTGTTCTTTATTCTTTCTGGGAGTAACTGAAAATTACGCTGTATTTAAATCCATGTAATACCTATTTTTTAAAGCACAAAACTATACCACCTTTATGTTAGTTGACAACTATTTCTACTGTTTTGCCTAACTTAGGTTAATCTCAGCCCTTTATTGTAAACTATACTTGAAAGTGTAAAATAGAGATTCACCATTTTCTTCCCCCCCTGTTTTCTGTTTCAGTTGTTACTCTGTATGCTACTCTGGGAGGCCCAGCAATAGTACATGGGCTAAATGAAACGGAGGTGACCACCATCATTACTAGTAAAGAATTGATGCAAACAAAATTGAAGGTCAGAAAACTGTTGTCTACCTCTTTCCAGCGTATCTGTTCATTATTGATAAAAGGCCTGGTCCCGTTGTACAGAACAATGATTTATTGCCTTTCTATAGGGCAGACACTTTTAGAATAAGATTTATGTATCTGTCTTCATGTACAGAAAAAAACATAGTTAGCCTTCAGTGGGATTTAGGCTCCTTGGTGACTTTGGAGAACAGGACAAGCAATTCGCAGTATTGAAGAGCTGCATTGCTGCCTGGAACACCACCTTTACAAGAAATTGCTATGGTTTCTGGGTGGATTTAGTGCCTATAAATTTAACAGTTGAAGCAAACGGGAAGAACAGAAAAATGTATAAACTGTATATGAATAGCTAAATGTGATCATCCTCCTGATTTATTGTTGGATGTTTTCCCAGCAGAGAACGGCTCTTAAATCTAAAGACGGGTGCTCAAAGAGGTAGAGCTGTTTTCCAGCACGGGGGAAAACTTATTAAACATCGAGAACAGTCAAAAAAACTTTTTTGACTTACTGACCCAGATCGAATACACAAGTGGAACAACTAATCTGCATGAGTTTCACCATGATGTGTTTTGGGGGAACTAGACCTTTCACATAAGGGAATTGTTTTAATTAAAATCCGTGCGCTGTTGCTGAATTTTGAATGAGAATTTCCCAAACCTTTTTTTTTTTTTTTAAGTTTCTAGAATGACAGTATATATACAGGGCACATTTATTTCAGCTTGCAGTAAGAGAATGAATTTCTTCTGCTAGAGATGATAATCATCTCTTTGTCCACTAGAACACTGATAATTGTTTTAGAACTCACATTTTGTTTGAAATGCTTAACTAGTGCTTAACTAATAATTTTCTGTATTTTTGCTAGCTCTTGCTTATTTTAAATAGCACAGTAATCAAGGAGCAACATAAGAATTATTGTGAGTTCAGTGTTGCCAGCTGCCCAGGACCTTTTCTTCTCAGTGTTCTATGAGAGTGGAAAGTCAATTATCTCTACAAATCTTTGCAGTCTTATTTGTGGACTTTTCTTGAAATAAGACCCAGATCAGTAAATGGTTGGAAAAGTTTTTGGACTTGTAAGTGGAAAGTTCAATTAGTCCTGTGAATCTAAATGTGGAAAGTTTCAAGCTTTGTAGCTATTTGAGCTGGACAAGTTTATCCTCTGATATTTTAAATCCTCAGATATTTTATGTCAATGCTTTTTTTTTTAATGTATATAGTAGATAGATTTATTTTTTTTCTTCTTGTTGGCACAAACCTCACGTTTGGTTTCTGAACACATGTCCATTTCCACAGGAAATTGTTTCTCAGGTTCCACTGCTGCGACATATTATTACGGTGGATGGCAAACCAACAACGTGGTCAGAGTTTCCCAAGGGTGTCATTGTTCACACTATGGCTTCTGTGCAAGCTATGGGGGCCAAGGCAGATACTGGTAGGTTATCCCTTCTTTCTGTTTGGATTGTCTTAGTTGTTGTCCTGCTTTGACCCCGTTGAGTAAACTTGGGGAAATTGCAGATCTCAAAAAAATTATGCAGTGATTAACCTTTTATCATCTGCTTTTTCTTTAAATAAAATCTGGGGGTTTTTTGGTTTGGTTGTGGTTGATTTTGGGGTGTAGGGCGGCTTTTTTTGTTTTTCAACAGAGTAAAGTGCTTTTAATCAAAACTGTCTTCTCCACAACAAGTGTCACATGTTGAAGAATAATTTTTTAGGATAAGCGTTTAGGCCAGGATAGAAACTTAGAAAGCATTCTTATGATCAGACATACTAAAAACAGGTTATTCCGAGCACACAGAGAAAATTATTGTGCATTTTATAGCAAAAGACATCAGTAATTCGCTACCATTAAGTTTTGTTAAATTCACAAATAACAAAATGTAAAATAGCCATTTAAACCTGATGGAACGCAGTCACTTTTATTGCATTTCTGAAAGTATCAATCTACTATGTAAATGTCTTGAAATCTATTTCCAATCTATGTAACACTTTCAGAATTCAGAATTTCAGAAGGTGTTTTAGCTATTATCATAACAGATTTTTATTCTTGGCTCTGAAGAGCGGCTAAACCTAGTATCTTAAGATTTCATTATATTCAGTAGTTGCTTTCTTCTGTTCTTATCCTTTGCGTTTTCAGAATCTTTTAACCACTGAAAGCACAGGAATGTTGGATTGAATTTCGCTTAGGAGTAGGGTGGGTGGTTAATCCATCTGCTGTTGATGTTCAGGGGAGGCAGGTTTGCTCCCAACATCATGACCTCTCAATTTCTTTAAAAGATGGTTTTCCCTTTTTGAGGTACCAGTTTCATGTACTATTAAAACTGTTGCAGACAACACCAACAGAAAAAATTATGGCTATAATTCATTAGCTCCTTGAGATTTGTTAATCTATGTGCTAGGTAAAAAGGTGTCTCATCTTTCTTCAGTCTTTTAAATATCACACACTATACGTTGTAATAAAGGAACATTATCTTTGTCAAGTTAACCATTCATAAATTGTGGAATACTACAATGAATTATTTATGGTCAAGCATGTTCAATTAATATTATGTTAAGTACATGAACTGCTGCTTGTATTTTTTTCTTCTGTGTTGTTCATCGTGCAGGATGGACAGATTCAGTGAGTGGGAAATTATTAAATACGCTTTCACTCTTCTCATTCAGCGTGTATGTTGTGCCGCATACATTGTGCGTTATGCAGTTTTTCCTCTGAATAAATCCAATTGTTTTCGTATTGTCTTGCTCTCAGTGCAAGTATTTAAAAAAACACTTTAATCCTATTAAAGCGATTGGACTTCCTTTAAATATTTATAGCAATTGGACCTCATGTGGCTCAGCAGCGCCTTGCTGATGAGGCAGCGTGGTGTTCCCCTGCCGGGGGGCGCATGAGAAAGTAGCTTTGCAAACGGAGACTGGCCCTGCGGCAGCGTGGAACCAGTGCAGCACACCTTCCTAAGGATGTGAAGCCCAGTGGCATTTTGGAGAAGCCAAAGCTCTGCCCGTTTTTCTCTCCTCTGCAGGAATATGGGAAACATAATAGAAAAAAACGTTGTCGTGGTAGACTAGGACAATCACTCAAAGCATTGCTCAGCTAATGCAAAGAAGTTCCTACTCTTTGTGAAGGCACTTAAGCTTAACCATAATCTTTTTAACTGAAAGCAAAATGTAATAGCAATAGTCACGTAGTGTTATATTGGCATGACTGCTGAAATGTGTTAGTATATCAGATCTCCCAGTCTGATAGGCTCTCCACACATTATACGTTCTCTTTTTTTAACACAAATTACAGGAAACAAACAGCAGGCCAGGCCTGTGCCCTCGGATATCGCGGTGATCATGTACACAAGCGGATCCACAGGAGTTCCCAAAGGAGTTATGATCTCCCATTGCAACATAATTGCTGGGATAACTGGGATGGCTGAGAGGATTCCAAATCTGGGGTACGTACCAACTGTTACTTACCAGCAAATAATGAAGCCATGTAGCTGCATATAATTTTAGATTAACTACTGTGTAATATATTAACTGTTTTGTATTGCTTTGTCTGTGACACATCATATTATACACTGATGACTGAGCATCTTCCAGTACTGCGTTAAATGACATGACTGCTTCATGTGCTGTTTGTTCTTTCGTCTTCTGTACGTGGGCAAGACTGGGACACAAAAGCCTGTGAGGCCGCCTTGCACTAGAGTGGTTGAAAGCTTCCCTAGGCAGTACTTCCTTTGGTCAGTGTTAAATTCTGTAGTTTCCTTCTGTTTGGTGCAATTTTTAATCTTGTCAACAGAGTTGCCTTTGCAACCATAATACACGGTTAATTGTCTTGGGATGAGCAAACATCACGCTTTGTTCGTGCCTTAAACCTACAGTATGTAGGACGCAACTTTGGAAACAAACCCCGTATTATTTGAAATACGTTCTCAAGCTCAAAGGCATTTTTCCACTTTCTCTAGTTCTGCAGTAAGCTCTGTGTAAATTTAGCTTAGTGACTCATCTGAGGACTCTAACGGTACACCGCAAACTTATCTTTTAAAAATTCTTTACAGGGAAAAAGACATCTATATTGGCTATTTGCCTCTTGCCCATGTTCTGGAGCTGAGTGCTGAACTTGTGTGTCTGTCTCATGGATGCCGCATCGGTTACTCTTCGCCTCAGACATTAGCTGACCAGGTATGTTGTAGATGTAAGCCCTTATGGTTAAAAAAAAAAAAAAAAAAAATTACATCAGATCTTTGTAATATTTCTTAAAAAAATATTACAACAAATCTTCTTTTCTACAATTCATGAAACAGGGTATTGGTGGTTATGACTGGTACTCTGGACTAGTTTTAATTGTTAAAATATCATTTAAATGAAAATGATTGTTTGAGAGATGTGCTATGTCATTTTGTTTCTCATGTTAAAAATCTTTAATGTGTCTGCTAGTAAACTTGTTCTTTGCCTTAGTCCTCTAAAATAAAGAAAGGAAGCAAAGGTGATGTTACTACGCTTAAGCCAACCCTAATGGCAGCTGTCCCGGTAAGTAACTGAAGGATAAATAATTTTAAAAATTATTTTAAAAATATAATTCATAATTCAAATTTTTAACAGCAAAATTAATGCAATTATCATTTAAATGAAAAAGGTAGAACCTTTGATGTTAAGGTAGCTTAAAATAATATTTTTGGTATTTATTTGTATGTTGGGGATAAAGATTCATCATATGAGTGTCAACATTTTTCAAAGTTTAAATAGCTGTGGGGATTAGATTGCCATTTTAATTAGTCATCTGTTGTTCGTCGTAGTAAGTGAATGGAATAAAGATAGTTGGCAGCAGGCAGCTTGGGGTTAACTAGTGCTCCTGCTCAGATGTTTGCTTTCCTCATTTCTGTGAACATCTTGCTATCTCTTAGCAATGGAAGAGGAGGCAACCTGGGGGTGGGTTGTCATCTGAAACGTGCTAGAATTTCTGGATCATGTTTCCTTTTTTGTTGTACTGAATTTAGGATTTCTGTTTCTTTGAATTAAAGTTAATTTTTTGATGTGACTAGGAAATTATGGATCGGATCTACAAAAATGTCATGAATAAAGTGAATGAAATGACTAGTTTCCAGCGGAATCTATTTATATTGGCCTACAACTACAAAATGGAACAGATTTCCAAAGGTTACACTACCCCGCTCTGCGATAGGTAATTTTACTTTTATTTTTAATGGCACCAAAAAAATGCTTATCAAAGTCTTACCAGATGAGCAGTATCTGATTTTTTTTTTGTGCTTTTCTTTGTTTTAATGTTGACACTTTGAACATGAACAAGTCTGTAATCAAGTGTATATTGAAACAACAAATCAGTAGTTCGTGTGATCATTTTAAATATCTACTGATATAATTTAAGTGAGTGTTATTTAACTTGAAACTGATTGGAGATTTATATTCATTGCATTATCTTTATCAGGACTTATAATGGATTTATACAATTCTTGGGTAAGGTGGGAACTCTATTCCTATAGATAACCATAGACTTTACATTTTCACAGAAGTGAATCGCAGATTATCTCAAGTTGGAAGGAGCCCATAAGGATCATCAAGTCCAACTCCCAACTTTAGTGAGACCAAAGGATAATATAATTGCAAAATTTATACAGCTTATTTAAAATATTTTGGAGGAGAAAATCACAGAACTTTACTGTCTTACTAAATCCACGTTCTCAAAATATTTAACCCATCTTCAAATTAGAATGTGAAAATGAGCTTAGAAATCTGTGCCTGTGTTTTTGAAAACTTAAATGTGCTCCTTCAAAGTTTTGCTTGAATGCCATGAAAGTTTATTTGAAGATGGTGGAAACTTTCAGTTCGGATACAAAATTAGGTACACTTTTTTTTTTTTAGCAACAAATACATACTCTTATCTTTGTGTTTTAGCCTTATTTTCCGGAAAGTACGAATGCTGCTAGGTGGAAAAATTCGCATCCTGCTTTGTGGAGGAGCTCCACTCTCTGCAGCAACTCAGCGGTTTATGAACATTTGTTTCTGTTGCCCTGTAGGACAGGGGTATGGACTAACTGAATCAGCTGGAGCTGGAACAATCACGGAAGGTTGGTGTCGGTGCCTCCCACTGAGCGCTGTGATCCGTGCCGAGCGCTCTGCGTGTATCATCTTTGACAGTCTTATTCATTCGGTGCATGCCACCAAACACAGTTGGGGAATCCTGGGAATTACTCGTAATCATAAATGTATAAAACAGTAGGAGTACTAATTTTGACACATTGTGCTAAAGCTGGTGACCTACATATAAAATGAATATTCTCAGTTGTGATAGAGAAACCTGTAACAGTGTGAATGGGATCTTGGCGTTATTGCACTTACCAGTTGAACTGAATAAATTATTTCTAATTTTGGTGAGTATATTGGGACGCTAGGAAACCAAAAAATGGAATGCAAAAGCCTGCACCAGATTTCAATTTCATATAACAGAACTTAATGGCTTCAGTTGCCTTTTAGTCCTAAAATTTCACTCGTATTCAGTGGTGGCAGAAACGGTCAGAGCTGCTATTTTTTGGCACTGGTGTGATCTACCTAGGAATCATACGAGGAGTATCTAAGGTTCATTGCTAGATTATGCCAGATTGTAGAACATGTATTATGTTCCTTGGTGATCCACAAACTGCTGGGATGTGGTTTTTATTCCAAGAGGTCTTTGGAAATGGCTTCTTCAGTAGCTTGGGGGGAAAAAAAAAATAGTGGAACTGTAATACAAATGTTGTAGTCTCCAGTGATGCTCTTTTGGGAAGGCACCCAGATGCAGAAGTGTTTGGGATTGAGACTTCAGGAAAGTGAATCAAAATATAGAATCCCTGAATTGTTACGAAATATTGCTACTTATTTCAGAGTCCAGCAAACACTATTTAAAGTTGTTGTGCCGCTTCTGAAGCGTGATCCCACATGGACAGCTTACTGTCAATACTGTGTCGATACGACTGGAGGTATCTGTAAATACAGCCATCTCTTCTCTTTGCAGGATAAGGATTTTACCTGCATTACCTTGATAGATCCGTTGGTTTTCTGGGAAGTTCTGTTCTATGAATTGAAGTTCAGAAATAAATAGCAGTTAATTTTCACTAAATAAGATGCATGACAACAAGTTGGTTTTGGTAAAGTTTTTTTCTGAAAAACGCTCTTTTAAATTCTAGTTTGGGACTACGCTACAGGGAGAGTGGGAGCACCTTTGGTCTGTTGTGAAATCAAGTTAATGAACTGGGAAGAAGGTGAGAATTTCTGTATGTGATTAAATTATAGTGTGTTTGTAAGAACTTTATATAGCTACTTTTCTATTGGGCTTTGCTCAGTAGTAGTAATTGGAAGACTATTTCTTGACTTTTAAAGTTTTAAATGCTACTTTTACCTATAAAAGTTTGATCTTGGGGGAGGAAAAAGGTAAAATAAATTCCTCAGTGGTTTTTAAACTTACAAATATCTAGACAGAAGCTATCAATGCGAGTGGCATTTTGACTAGGCTGTATTATGACTCTCTTTGGCTATACTACTTCTTTTATTCCAGTCACTAGCATTGTATATGCATATTGTGTAAATGTATACAGCATTGCACCTCTTTCTGATTTAGATCAGTCTTCTTGCAGGACAGGGTGCAGGTCTTGTATGTTGTGTCTTTAGAGGTGCTGGATTCAGGAGACTTCAGTTGAAGTGCATGCATGATACCTTCTGTTGCCATTAAGAAATTATTTTAAAATACTCCTCATGATATTATTGTTAATAACATCATTAAAAAATTGGCATATGGAATGGAAGCTTAATGGGTGCTATATAAAAGACGACATTTGGAATGTATTTAGGTGATTTCCTTTCACTGTAGGCTTTTATGTATTGTAGAGTAGAAATGCATAATACTTAAAGGTGCTTTGGGCTAATGTGAAACCTTACAGTTTTGTTTCTTTCCTAAAATATGAGGCAAAGTTTATCCTTCTTTTTTTTTTTTTTCTTTTTTTAATTCGAGCCTGTATGAAACTGGTGGAGCATGTTAGTCCTGGCAGAAAGATTGCACAGAGGTGGCATTTGCCCTCTGCATGTATGTGAATTTCCCTGTTTGTAAACACGCGTGTTAAATAGCTGTTTATAGGCTGAAAAGAATTGGAACCACCTCTTCTCTTACTGAACTATTTAGGCAAGTGGTAACTTTGGCTAAGGACTTATTAAAGTGTTTAGTTCTGTATTTAAATAGTAAAAATAATAGGAATTCTTGCTTTGGAATATATTTTAATTCTTGTTAACTCAATAAAAACCGTACTTTTAGGTGGATATTACAACACTGATAAACCATATCCTAGAGGTGAGATTCTTATCGGAGGGCAAAACGTGACTGTGGGCTACTACAAAAATGAAGTACGAACCAAAAAAGATTTCACTGTTGATGAGAATGGGCAGAGGTGGCTTCATACTGGAGACATCGGAGAGTTTCATCAAGATGGATGTCTAAAAATTATTGGTGAGTTAATAAATTCAGGTGAACATATATATACATTTTTCAGAGCTGCTAAATACTGTAATTAACCAAAAAAACCCTCCATATCTTGGCATGCAGTCTGAAGCCCTACCATGTATCCCAGGGAAGTTCTGATATGTTAACGTAAACTTGATTGTGTGTTTTAAAAGCTGATTTTTAAAATAATTGCTTCCTTTTAAAACAGTCTTAACATTGACTCCACTCTTTTAATGAGACAGGGTAGTAATTAGAGAGTTAAATATAGGCTAATTGAGCTAGGTAAGCTGCCTTAGATTTTATAATTTTGTAAGTGTGGAATTTGATTCAGTGAAAGGGCTCTTTTGGTAATATGTGCTCAGGAATTAAATAAGCCTTTTTTAATCTTGCCATTCTTCATAATAAGAATATCCCTTTATCATAAAGGAACTAGGGGAAAAATATACTAAGGTAAAGGTGTTATACATAAGCCTGTGATAGGCTCATAATCCTTCGACACCCGTAGGCACAAAAATAGGTGCCCTATAAACTACCAGGTGTCTCTCTTGAAGTCACTGGGTGGTTCAGGGTGCTCTTTAATCCTGAAAGCTAAGCTTATTTGGTTTATTGTATGAGAAAATTCTTAGGTCCCGTTGCAGCTGCCTTGCACTGGTCAAACAGGTCAGACAGCTACAAAACCACCTTGCCTGGTTGCACAAAGCAGCGTGAAGGTATATATATATAGCAGAGGAGGGGTACTCCTGGCTGCCGTCACAGCTAGGTGGGTGAGGCCCTGTAGTCACCTTTGCCGCCTTTCGGCTACCTACAATAAGCTCAAGTAATTTGGGCTTAATTTTCCGTTCCTATTGTTGGATTTCAAATAACAGGTGGACAGTTACTCTTTAAACATGGATTTAGCCTGGGAATAAATAACAAAATGTCACCAAACGGTGCTTCTCCTGCCTTAAGCGTCTGGACCAGGCAGCACAAAGTGTGTGCTGCTAGCCAAACGCTGGCTTTTGCATAATCCTAGCTGTCTTCCATTCACGTGACAGTGCTGTCATATAGGAAATGCTGTTCTAAAGGCAGAAAATGCATGGAATGGAAATGCGTCTCATTTCTATGTGAGGGACAGATTGATAAAATGCGAAGTCTGGAAACTTGATTCTAAATGTTTCTTGTACGTTCACCAAACATGAGTCAGCTTACCTTTTGGCATTTATACATAAAGTTCAGGGAAGTATAAAATCAATGTCTAAAGTTTTGTGTTCCGTAATTAACGTTTAATTCCTTTTTTCCTCAATAGATCGTAAAAAAGATCTTGTAAAACTCCAGGCAGGAGAATACGTTTCTCTTGGCAAAGTAGAAGCAGCTCTAAAGAATCTTCCACTGGTGGATAACATCTGTGCGTATGCAAGCAGGTAAGAGGCAGCCGATACTTTTGTTATTGCCGTATTCTTTGTCTGTCCTACTGAAGCCGTAAGCGGAATTTTTTTGCCACTCAATGTGTGGTATTTTTTAAACCAGTTGAAAAATGATTTTACTTGTAATACAATGGAATACCTTTCTCTATCACAACTGAAAAATCTGGAATGTATGTTTTTATTTTTCCTTTCCCATTTTTTCATCATTCGTTGGAAAATGCCAAGAATGAGTCTCTTTCATTCCCTTTTCCCCAATCTGAAAAGTAGCTAAGCTCTGACTGCATTCATAACAGACATCACTCGAGCACTTTAGAGATTATTACCTATAGAAACCCTAGGACACCTCGTTCCTTGCTGTATTTAGCTGTGATCTCTCCTTCAGAGAAGTACTGTTGTACTTTGGAGGAAGGTGGGGGAAAAAACCACCAACCACCCAGAAGCTGGCTTGCGCATTAAAAATACTTTTCTTTAACCCCTGCAGTACACAGCAGAAGCCTTGAAGCTTGAGAGAAAACACTCTGTAAATACTACGCTAACACACCATTAATAAATGATGATCAGATGTCCTTTCTCTTTGCTTTCTACGTGTACTACTGAATTAGGCATATAAGGGCTCAAACATGTCTGAAGTTTCTATTTCTAGAATTTCCTACTTGTGTGTAATACAGACTTAAATGTATAAATATACATCAGGTGGTCTTTGTTTCCTGTTGTCATTTTGATGTTTGCAAAGTCATTTTGGAGCTTCTGAACAATCGGAAATATTCTGATTTCCAGTATGGCCAAAAAAGCCCCACTTGATAACTTTGATTGAAAGAGGCCAGGACAAGCATACCAGAGAATTGCTCAGTGGTAATAAATAGAAAATTAACTTTTGGTTTGTTCACCTGGTTCTCTGTGGTATTTCTTCTTGTGTTAACTAATGGTAGTCGCCCTGTAACTTCAGTTTTGACAGTTTTGGATCAATAGGCTAACATGCATTGGGCATGCCACTGCTGAGAAAACTTCCATTATATTAAGCTTTATTTGTGGTTTTGACCCATTGGGTGAGTCTCATGTTTGCTTGCTTTGACTGCCTGAGGTTATGTGCCTGTTCTGAGCACCCTCTGTAGTCTTTGGAGAAAGAGGTTCCTACAGATGGTGATTTCTGCTGTTCTAGGATTGAAGTTCACTATTGGAATTGTACTATCAAATTTTGTGTTAATTTTGCCAGGTCAACGTAACATCGGAGGCTAAAATGCACTTGTCAACAGGCACTTGACTCTGATAGTCTGTGTCTTGTCTATTATTTAAAAATAAGAAAACCTATGAGCATTTTTAAAGGTAATTTACAAACAGAGTCCAAGTACATTCCAGATTGGTTTTTCTGCTGCTGCTGTATTTCTTCGTAATACTTTTCCTGTGTGTAATTTGGCACAAGTAGCACGTAATACAGATTCTCTGCATGATTGTCCATATGCACATTTCATTGTGGGTATATACTCACCTCAGCAGTTGTGAGCTCGGAGACTTTTTGTTAGCAGTGCCTGTGACCTCTCTTATATCCTGTCTCTCCTTATACTTTGCCTGGGTGATCTCGTGTGCAAGAGGAGTCCTTCACTTGTAGCTGTTCTGTCTCCCACATGCGAAAGGACAAGGAGGGCAGACTTTTACAAATGGGTTAAATCTGTGATTTGACCTTAGATCTTGGGGTGCAAAGATCCTCTGAACGTGGTAGTAGGGAATCAAAAGTGTTTGCACGATATCGCTGCTTCAAAAGCCATGTTAATTGACCACTTCAGACGAAATACTCAGTGAGATAAGGAATAAAATGTTTGCTGAAAGGAATCATGATTAGAGCTCCTTCAGAGGAGGCTCCTACTGCTTTATCAGCACTTCACCCATCCAAGACGCATTCAGTGGGTCTCAAGCATCATGTCAGGAGAATTAGTGGTTCAGTTACCTGAGGAATGAGCAAACATGGCAGAAAACCCAAGGGAGTTCTCAGCA